GAAGTCCATGCAGAAGAAACCCCTGGCAATATATTGAGTCATCAGCACCCCAACAGGGACTTGATCAAAATGTAGAACCAAATTAAAAGGGAGTCAGTCAACAGTCTCATACAGGAAACTTAACCTGACCTTACAGGGCTCTACAGCTCTTCTCAAAGCAGCAGCAAGACACCAGCCAATCCCCATCCACCAAGTCTGTTCATGCCACGTCTGGACTCTTTGTCGCCTGATCCAGTTCCCCAATCCAAATATCAATTTTGGTGTTGACACTTGTTCAAATAAAACCAATGAAAGCCACCTGCCATTTCCTTCCTCCAAGGGACTAAACCCGAGGATGGTCCTTCTCAGCTCCAAGGGACATGTACTCCATCTAACAACGTCTTTGATCAAGAAACAAACAAAAGGAAGAAGGAAAACAACATGCCTGGTCAGTGAGGCTTTCTGCAAAAGATCTTGATCAAGAGGGGAAACGCAAAAGGATTTCGATCTAAAATGGAGCTGGAGGATATGAAATAGGGAACCTCACACATGCGCCCTCAGGAGAACAGAACTTAAGAACTGAGATCAATTTCCCGGAAATGCCTGATTAACAGAAGACCAAGACTTATCTCCTGACAAGTGAACATCCTCAAGCTAATGAACCGACTGCTTGGACTCTGCCCGGCCTTGCCCCACTTTACATTCCTTATCCATAAACAGCCTGCCCCAAACCCTCAATAGACTGACCTGTCTCTGGCCATAGCATGCATTTCCATAAGTGCAATCCCTCTGCTATTCCCGAATAAACCCAATTTCTGTTCATTCAAGCTTGCCTCAGTTTACCTCCTTATATATATTGGGTTGTTGGAAAAGTCATGCCGTATTCTTTCTATGTTTTTCGTTGCAAAAATGCGTCATGACTTTTCCGACAACCCAGTAGGTTGACAGCCATTATGGGGAATGTTCTGATTAGACAAGAGGGCTCGTTTAAGACATGCACTTGAAAGCAAGGCCTTCCAAATCAGACAGAATGGGATACCTATTTTAATTGGCATGCAGAAACCTCCAAAGGCTTCACGATTCCAAAATAGCTTCACTGATGAAAGAGTCATTGTAAACGGGTAATGAAAAATTAAAGACAAAAGAGGCAGAGGTAGCTAAAACGGACTGGAGGACTCCACCTGCTCCCCTTCATCCTCCTTTACCTGAGTACTACTCACAGTCTAATCCTCTCTGAATTGCCTTTCCACTCTGAAGAAACTGTAAGACTGTAAACAAAGGTCTGCCAAGTCAGTGGCCTTACAGACACCCCCCTATCTTCCCCGGAAGGAGGGCCCCCAGATGGGCCCCTCCCAGGGGTTGATGGGACTCCAAGGGATTCTCCTGGACCTGCTACCAGCTATTCCCTTACACAGCCAAGGGAAACTAGAATTCAATCCGTGGAAAACCCTGCCAAATTCTGGTAGATAAACAGAGCTGCACGCTCTACTTTAAACCCCACTCACTCCGGAGCCTGCAGACAGGATCCTGGGAAAACTGGCAGAAGCTGGCGAAGGATGAGAATTCTTACCAGAGTCGGCTCTCCCCGATCTCTGTCAGTAGTGTGTGGTCAGGAGACACAGATAATATTTCATGTTGTCCCTTCCTCTCCAAACCCAGACCCACTGGTTATCGCTTTCTCTCCCAGGGACAGCTATCTTTCTTTGGGAGTGACTCTGGATTTTGGGAGGGTAGTATCTTTTGTCAGCAGGAAAGAGAACTTAAGATGACCGGCTGTTTAATGTCTCATGTCATTTTCATGAGTAATCTAAATTGTTAAGAACAACTAAATAGCTGTAGGTAATAAAAGTTTAAGTGAACTTTTCAACAATAATTATGCTTATGGGATGTCTACTTAAAAAATCGTTTCCAAAAGCTTTTTGGTAACTTGAAACCTTGAAGTTATACTGAGGTAAGTTAAATGATGGATAGTCATTGAATATCTAGATCATTTTCAAATCAGATAAAATACTAAGACACTAATTACTGAACAGAGTTTTATCAACTTTTGGCTTCCTTTTTTACAGAGGAACTAAAGATATTTGGGTCTATCAGTCAACACGTTTCGTGTCACACTGAAAAATTTACTGTGAGGAAGAATATTCTAGAAATGATGAAACGTAATTATAAGTTTGCCCATCCATAGAATGCTAGTGTAACAAACAGTTCACAATTGCTTACATTTTAGTTCTCACTAGGAATTAAGGATCCTAAGGGTTAATAATTTTAATCAGTGTGTTCTAGAAATTATGAAATTCCTAGAAATCTGGTATGTCCTGGTATCATTAGTCATAATTCCAGTTACCTTAAAATGCTGTATATCACAGACATAACCAAATTTTCCTGTCAGTTCCATTGCAATGAAGTCTTGTCAGAACTGGAGCAATGGGCATACCAAGAACTCGTAACCACTGCCAAATCATGGGGTGTGGACCCTTGGGTACAGACTTGTGGTCCTGTACAAAAGCTGGGGACCCCACAACCACCTGACTACAACCACCCTGGCGGGGAAGAGAAGCAGCCAACATCAGGGCAGCCTGCTTCTTCCCAAGAGGTCAGACCAGGAACGTAGCTTGGCGTTCCACCTTCCCTCTCTGACCACTGCTCATATACCTCAGGCCATTGAAAAGGTGTTAATCCCATCTCCACAGGACTGCTGGGTTCGCCATGATACTGCTGAGTCTGTCCCAAACTTCTGCAAATTCCAGTGCCTCTGCTTCTCTACACTAAACTCAGCGTCTCTAACCCTGGGGGTCCATCTCCCTGTGTCAGCTTAACCACCCCAGACCCGGGAACTTTGCGTCCTGGCTCTGTACAAAGACAGGGACACAAGGCAAGGGTGACCAGAATAAAACAAACTGTGCAGGCTACAGACCCTTGAGCTTTATTGGCCTGCGTGGTCGTTCCCTTTTGAGTCCTGACCCACAGACTGTGCTGTGACCACCACCACTGGCTGTACCTGGATTGACACTGGGGAAGTTGAGACTCAGCTACATAAGGTTACTGAACAAGCCAGTTGGCTTAAGCAACTCCTTCAATAAGGCCTTTTTTTGACTTATTTGATTCTTGTTGTTTGGGGTTTTGGGGACCATGGCTCCAAAGTACACCCCAGACACTGGGAATTATCCTGCTTATAATAATCATAGTACCTTGGTGCACTGTCTTCTCTTGATAGCGTTAAATGCATGTTTGTAGCCACTAGCCATCAAGCAAACGATCCCCCTAAGAACCAAAGGTCAGAGAATGACCCACTTACAGGATGTGAACCTGACGTCACCACACCAATTCAGCAAAAAATTCAGAGGACTCAAGAGCGGAAGCTGAGAGTAACACTAATGCCTTGAATTTTGGTCACATCTCTCAGGCTGAGAGTCTGATCAAAGGGGAGAAATTGTTAAGAACAAGACCACAGGCCCAAAAATAGTCACTTATAACCACACTGAGACTTACAGTTTCAGCTATCTCCCAGACATGGAATCTTAAACCAGTCAGCCAGGAATCGCCCGATCAGCACTAGTGAGGTCACCTGCCTGATCTGAAAGGAAAGTGACCTGGCAATAACCGACCGCCGTTTCACCTAGTTTCGCCTCCTTGACCCAGCTGCTTTCTGACTACAAAAGTCTTCCAACTGGTACAGCTCCTCAGAGCTCCTTCCAGCCTGCGAGGTGGGATGCAGCCTGACGCATGAATCACTGAACAAAGCCAGTAAGATCTTTCAGATTTACTCAGCTGAATTTTAACACCCTTTTCCTCTCAAAGACTCACCCCATTTTCCTAATCCCCTATCTGCCAACTTGGGATTTGTAGTAAAAACTTCAGTGTCTCCCAATTTGTTCAGGATCTTGTCTTACCCTACTACTCAGGGTGATGTCCAGCTCTTTCTCAACAACACGAGGCTCTCTGCTGTTCCCCAGACACCCCGCTCGTTTCTGCGCCTGTGTTTTTGCCCTTTGGAATGGCCCTCTCCTGTCTAACCCCCACTTCCCACCACAAGCCTCTGAAGCCAAGCTCATGCAGTGTCTCCACAAAGCCAGAAGTCCTGTTCCCTTGGATTCCTTTTAGCACTTTGTTTCAAGTCTCAGAACACTTCATCTAGAAGTGCTGCAAGTTTCTTACTCCCTTGTATACCTCCCCTTGTATGTCTGATACATTTTCAAATTGCTGATGTGAACTTGAACTCTTGGAACTCTGGTCTCTAGCATGGTTCCTAGAATATAGTCAGGGTTTCCACTTTTTGATTGAATACACTTTTAACTCTTTATCCACTTCTGAATGGCATCCTTATCATTTCAGTTAATCCCTGAAATGCTCCTGAATATCAGTCTTACCTCCCAGTTGCCTTCTGGTCCCAGAGGACAGAACCCAGGCCAGGCAGTACTGTTTTCACGCCCACCATCGCAGTGCATTTCATTCACTAGGGATCTTGTTAAAATGCAGATTCAACTTCAGTAGGCCCAGGAGTCTAGCTTTCTAACTATCTCCCAAATGATGCCACTTGTCTATGGACCACATTTTGGAAAGCAGGATCCCATAGCATCTGGTAGAGTGACACAACTGCCACTCAAGAATGCTGGGATGAAATTGTGACTGATTTCCAGGTGCTTCTGGATCAACTTGGTGCTTTGAAACGAACTGCATGATGCTGTTCTTCTCATGGACATCAATTCCTAAACCAGTAAAATCACCTATAAGCATCTGCCTGAACGAGGAGCCTGGGAAGGTCAAAAACATACGCTGAGGTCTTTTCTGGGAAGTAGCATAAGAATATCTAACGTCTGATGTAAAAACATACATATAAACATCGAATGCCACATGTATCTAGAAATCAGACATAAAAATAATGGCTTCCACACCACACAGATGTTTCCTTCTGGGAATTATGATATGGGCAAGGGCAACACATATGCAACACATCTGCGATCACAGACTCCTAAGTGGCGAAGGGGGAAGGGCTGTAAGAACAAAACGTTCCCTTACGATACCTCTATTCATCGGGACTTTGGTGAGTTGGAGACTCAGACCCGTCCATAATGGGCGAGTGTTCTGTTGCTTCTCTGAACAAAGGAAAGCAGAGGAAGGAAGAGAAGAGATGTCATGTTAAAGCGAGGAACTGACACAGACATGATTAGTAGCTCATTAACACACTGGCGCGACCAGTTGACTATACACCCAAGTGTTAAGAGACAAGTAAGGCATGAGAGCTTTCCACCCCCATGAGTGAGCCCAAAGACCGCTCTAGTTTTGTTAGGGAGGCAGGCTTTGGCGCCTTTTACCCATTTCTCATGTTTTTTAACCACATCACAAGGAGTCATTGTTAATGACAACTCAACTTAATCTGATAAAAGAATTTACTTCAAGGACCAAGATATCTTTTTGTTTCAAATTTGTGTTGGGTGCTCACTAGCTCTATGTGGTGAAACACAGGCAGGTTTCAAGACCAGCTCAGGTGTGCAGGCATGGGAGGGGTGCCTTGTCAATTTCAGAGCCTGCTGACAGTCAAATCAAAATATTTACTTGGATCAGGTGAGACTGGGCAGGATCCAGAAAATCTGGAGGATCCAGAGAGAGAGTTTGGAATCTGAAAGTTCCTTATTTGGGTGAGATGGTGTAACGACTGGAGGTACCACAGAGAAGAGCTGTCATTCTCTTATGAATGAATCTTGTGCCCTAGGCCTTACAGTGGCTATCTGACCACACCGGTTAGAGCTGGAGTGTGCATGGTGTGTAAGGGAGTGTTTTCATTGTCTGTAATAAGGGCAGAGGGGCAGCTGCTGCCCGAAAGACAGACCAAGAAGCGGAAGTGGACACAAGAGCACTGACTGTTAAACGTGATGGGCATCAGAATCCCCTGGAGAGTTTGCTAAAACACAGGCTGCCAGGCTCCAGCCCCAGCTTCTGACTCAGCAGGTCATGGGTGGGCCCGAGAGCCTCCATTTGGAACAAGATCCCAGGTGGTGCTCATGCTGCTGCTCTGGGGACTAAACGTTATGAATGACTGGCCAGAGGAGAGTGACAGGGCTGACATTCCAGCTCCATCCACCCATGTGACTTTGGGCAAGTCACTTACGTTCTCTCGGCCTCATCTATAATACCAAAACATCTGCCCAGTCCCGTGCAAGGTTACAGTGAGGATTATCGGAGCTCATCTGTGTTAGAAGCGTCTCTCAGCTTTTGCAAACACAGCTCCCCTACCTTATGTCAAATCCTAAGGCCCCAGCAAGCCGGGTTTGAAATCACTACAGATCAATTTGCAAGGGGAAAAAAAAAATGTCTGCCAAGCATGGAAGCCAGCAATGTATTCAGTGGAGTCAATTCTGGTCCTGCTGTATTCTGATAATTCAACTCCCAGACAGCTGTCAGATTTTTCCAGACCCCCACTGTTGCTCCCACAAACTAGAAACAATAAAGCTGGATAAAGGTGCCCCTCACTCCTTTAACCAGCAGGCACTGATAGAACATAACATCCACTTAGAGGCGATGGCTAAGGAGCAACAGGAGAGGCAGGAACTGTGAGGAAGGCAGGCTACGTGCGTCTGCCAGACACTTCAGCAGATCAGAACACCCCAAATGTGCATGAGATTCTGCTGTCTGCCTACACTGAACGCTGTACAAGGAGCTGAATGTTGGTTTCATTATTTTGCTGTGGGCCACTTGTTAAGGGTCTCAAGGTCCCTGGTCCCCTTGGCGTGCTGATTAAAGACAGGCGCTTGGCCAGGACAGACGAGATCTGAGCCTCCTGCCTTCTTCAGGTGCATCCCGACACGAAGACAGTGGGCACCCCAAGAAGCAGGTGAAACATGGGGGCCCAGCATGGGTCTCTTCCACCTCTCTCTCCTCTTCCTCGCCTGGCATTTTAACGTCCGCCTGGTATAACTGAAGCCCAAATCAAATGCTGTCTGGAATTCTGACCAAAGCAGCACACTTGGACTTCCGGCACCCACCTCCCCCACATTCCTGGGGCAGCCACCAACTTTAAAATAGAGCAGACAGAATTCCCTCCCCATCTACAGGGTCAGCGATGGAAAGGACAAGGGTAGAAGGAAGTGCAATTCATGGGGCTTCTGGGAAAGGAAGGCGTTTCACTCGTCCTTCTCCTGCCGAACCCTCTGTCTCTAGGCTCTCAGACTCATTACCCTCTCCCTCACTGACCAGGAAGGCTGAGCATCGTTCTCCACCTGTGAGGAGGGTGTAAGGTCTGAGAGAACTCACCCAGTCTGCCAGGTTAGGATGTGGTGGGGACTGCTTGGGGGGGTCGCTCCGATTTCACTCGATGGCGTTGAGCTTCTCTGGCTTTGAGGTAAGGCAGCTGTATGCAGGTGGCACAGAAAAGACAGCGGTCAGACATGGGTCAAGTGAAGGCGCTTCTTTCTAGAGATGCTGGCTCTGACCCCATGGCAGGGTCATGCTGTGGAGACACCCACCCCATCCCCCACAGGCAGCGCCCTACTCGGTCAAGCTGACCTGGGATCCTAGGTCCCCACTCTGCTGGTGGGACATGGCCACAGGGATGGCGACAGCCCCACAGGAGCAAAGAACCTAACGCCCCACAATCCTTTGAGGGAGTCCTGGGCAGGGCTAATGCGGAGGGCCTGTTTCTCTGGACACTGGGGAAGCACATCTCAGGACATTTTCAGATGTGGTCCCAGTGTCAAAACTGCCTTTCTTGTGAACAGAGAACCTCCAGAAAGGTTCTCAGAGCTGGCTCTCTGCCGTTTTCGGGTGTATAATTTACCCCTTTGGACACTTCAAAGGGTGCAGGGCTTGTCAGAGCTCATTCAAATTTGACTACGAGGAGTTTATTGATGTGGGCAGGGATGTTCTAGTTGGGAAAACTTAGTAAGAAGTCAATCCTTCAGTGCATCCTTTGCTTTCTTGGGAATGCAATCCTTTTCATCAGGAAACCTCAGATACAGCCTCGGAGATGTTGTAGTCTAAAATCTGTTCCAAAGATTTACCTAATCTCTTTAAGTAAAACAAATCTACTAGACAAGTGCTGCGATTTCCAGGGGACATGCACACTTCTGGCCCTCTGTCAGGTGCTGCAGCTGCTAACAGGATCACAGAGTACGGATAACGTACCCCCCTCATTCGATCACTCAAAATCCCCCCAAAGTCAACGGCAGATGTCACTGGACTTGTTTTACAGATGAAGGAGGATTATGGAGAAGGTTCTAGGACCTTGAAGTCCATGGTTCTCTCATGAACGCCTCAATCATTTTCATTATTGTCTCTGGAACGTGTCATTTGGCCAGTGTGCCCTAATAAATGAGCCAACGGGGGGGATACGGGGACAGAAGGCAGGAGCTGTGTCGCCTGGCACACCTGGGCAGCCGACCAAGCGGCCATTCCTCTTGGCTCTGCTCTCCCGAGGCCCCCAGCATCTCCTTCAGTTCCCCAAAGATGAGCCCCCGTTTTCTCGTTTTAGGATCACTCCTTCCCCTAGATCTACTTAACCCTCCTTCCAGGCACAAGTCGATCCTGACTTGCAGTCCTTTCCATCTGCTGCTCTCATTCTTTTACTTTCAAAATCGTTTTTATTATGTCTCAAAACCCTTCTCCCTTCTTTTGTTATAGTCGGTATGAGGCAGAGTCTTGTCACCGCATGAGTACCCCTCTCCTTCTGGGTGCTGTATGTAAATGAGTGACTACAGGCTGCTGCCCAGAGCCCTGCGGCACCTGGCGGCAGCGGCTGAACAAGTGTCACCATGATTCTCTCAGCGAGGGAGTGAGAAGGGACTGTAACTTCTTAAGGAAGAGCATGGTTTC